GCATAGGATGGTAGCTAGATTTGTATTTCTACACGTGGTACTAGAACCTTGCCTATAATGTTGATCTCATGGGGTTTCTAGTGTTTTTGTTGTCTAGCTACTCATGGTGCTAAGGATGAACTTAAAGGTGCAACTCCGATCGGTATCACACTTCAAAGGTTTATTCTATACACCTTAGCATCATTGGTAGTAATTACTCTCCCACACTTCCAATCTATGCATATGTGTGAGCTTCAAACCAAACACTCTAGCACATATGTAGGGGAGCTAATACTATCAATTTGGGTTTGTGGTACTTGTCCAAAATCATTTACGCATGGTAAAATTGCTTGGGCAAGCAACATGAATCCAAAAGAGCTTAATTTCTCATATCTTTGTAGAGTTGTCATCAATTACCAAAAAGAGGGAGATTGAAAGGTCCTTGTTTGGTTTTGATAATTGAGTGACAACCTTAGGAGGACTAATATGTGTTTAAGTGAGATACACAGGTGATTAGTCCACAAGTACATCATGCGTGAGCAACCTATGCCATGAAGGTGAAATGTCTTGGATATGTTGCAAGGCTCACACATGTGATGAAGGAGCTCATTGCATATGAGACATGGCATTGAATCATGTGACTAAGATGGAGAAGATCAAGACAATACTTGGCTTGATGGACCGGTTGCAAGCGTGAAGGGAAAGTTGGAGGCTTTGGAGCGATGGATCACATGGCGATGAAGCTTGAGCAAGACTTGGCGCCGATGGACGAAGGCAACAGTGAAGTCAAGATCGATGAACCAACAAGTTCATGTGATGATATGAAGTGGATCATTTCATTTGTGTTTGGTTGGTGTTGGTATAAATTAACGCACATAGAATAATCCGCAAGCGCACGGATATTATAACGATGTAGCACTTCACTGGGAGTACCCAATTTTATATCGAACTCGAGGAAACATGTGTGAGAATAACCAAATTTAACTTAACCCAACTTCACAATCGAGGAAACATGAGTTAGAATTATTCCAATTAATTACAGACAAAATTAGATTTTCCAATTAATCTAAGGCTACAGTAAAAATTTTGTACTAAAGCATACGTATTATATATTCACTATATAGATCTACTCATGAGGAGTCCAATAAAATTAGATTTTTCATTTTATGATTTTTCTATGATTTACTATGATTTTTCAAAAATTCACCGAAAAAAGAAAATCCAAACCCACCGACACTATAGCAAACCCACCGTTACTGTAGCAAACCCGATGTTACTGTAGCAACCACTGTCAAAAAACGTCCGGGGGGTAAAATAGACGGTTTTGGAAAGTTCAGGGGGTAAAACATACGGTTTCATAGTGGGGGTGGAGTAGACCAAATATGAAAGGTGGGGAGTTAAGTAGACTTTTTCCTAAAAAGAATAGCACCTGTCGCCAAACCGAGTACCTGGAGTAGTTTCTTCTAGTCTTCTGGCTTCTTGCTGATAAAGTTATTTTTTCTGGCATCATCTTTTCGAGTTAATTTTTTGAAGAGGAGAGAAACTATTTAAAGTTATTTATTACCACAGCAATATCGGTGATTCTAACGCCCGAACGTCTGGCGCACGAGTGCATCCGAATGCCGGTCCCTTCCCAACCCCCACCCCAGCAGAATAGAATAGAAACCCGCCCGCCCCCACGTATAGAACAGAATAGAACGAAAAACCTGCCCCTGTCCTCTGCTCCCGACGTGCCCCTGTCCCCCATTCCCCAACGCACACCGTTCTCCCCACCGCGCCTCTGTCCCAAAAAAGAGCATGAAACACTTCAAGTGTAACATAGCAAACATATGACAAAACTATGTAGTACAACATCGGGATATAAATACTGCAACATTGCAAAAATATGTAGTGCAACATTGAAAAACATGTAGCGTAACATCAAAAAATATATACTGCAACAATGGAAATTATGTACTGCAACATCGGAAAACATATACTACGATATCGAAAAAATATGTACTGCAACATTGAAAAAATATATAATGCAATTATATGTTGCAACATCGAAAATTATGTACTGCAACACCTCAAGCAATAGTACTGCAACATCAAAAAACATCTGTTGCAACGACCCAAAAATTCCATTGCAACATTCAAAAATCATCTGTTACAACATCCTAAAAAATCCATTGCAACACGAGAGAAATAGCAAAAAAAATGCACAAAACAGCCCTTGGCCCATCACCTTCGAGCTCGCCGGAGAGAGAAAGGAATAGGACCATAGAGCTCACCGGAACCCTAGCCACCGCCACGTTCCTCAGATCCAGAGGAGGAGGAAGAGGAGGAGGAGGGCTCAGATCCACAGAAGGACCAACCTACCTCGTCAAAGCTGCCTCCGTCGTTCTTGTCTCCGGTGGGGGTCGCATGGAGGTCGTGGAGGGAGGGAGGGGAGGGAGAGGGGGCGGCAATGACCTAGCGCGCGAGCGCAGCGTCTGTCCCAGTGGGGGCGGCCCGGAGAACGGCGCAGCGTCCCGTGGTACACAATGATGATCCTGCACAAGCGGTCTCGGCGGCTGATGCACGTGGACGACACGCTGGGCGTCACCCACACGCACGGCGTGGTGGGGCTCCTGGGCGGCCTGCTCAAGGGGCTCCTCGCCGACCCCACCCTGTGCGCGCTCTTCCTGCCCCTCATCAACTCCTAGGGCACCTTCTACTGCGGTGCCGCGCAGCTCGGCAAGCAGCTGGCGGGCGCGCTCGTCACCTCGATCATCTGCGTCGCCATCAACGCCGTCGTCCCGCTGCGCATGACCGAGGAGAAGCTCGAGGTCGGTGATGACGCCGTCTACAGCGAGGAGGCGTACGCGCTCTAGGGCGACGGCGAGCTCTACGACGTCACAGAGCACGGCCCGCGCGGCGCCGCCGTCGTCGCGCCCGTGTCGACGACCCCGAATTGAACTAGTTGCTAGTTGTGCATTGTTAATATTTGTTAATATGCACGTTAAATGATAGCCTAGTGCTAAGACTGTCTCCAATAGGTGACTTATATGGGCACCCAAACCCAAAATAGATAGCAGGAGATCTAAAATCAGCCTCCAACAGAGTATCTATACGGGAGACCCTTTTTGGGTTGTCAGAGAGGCACAACCCAAATATAAGTATCCTCTTTCCTGAAAACCCATTTGCAGAAAGGATTCTCTTTTGGGTCCTGTTGTTGGAGAGGATGTCGAATGGGTATTTAACCCTTTAACTGTAGCGCTACCCAAACGTTGAATGGGTCTTGGATTTTGGGTGTTGTTGTTGGAGATAGACCCCGTTTGGCTTGCCGAATCTTGGCTAAAATTGGCTGAAAAACATTGTTCTGGCTGAAATGTTATGAGAGAAAAACACTGTTCCGGCTGAAAAAAGAAGCCGAACAAGCCGGATATGGGGTAAGCCGAACAGGGCCGGTCTAAGAAGATGAAGGTACAGAATCACCACTATCATTATTTGAGATAATGGTAGAGCCTAGTGCTGGGAGATGGAATGTGTAGTGTTACCACTATCACTACTCATGATGTAAATTCTATTAGTAACTCCTTTTGTATCAACACTATATAATGAGGAGGAAAGCTAGAGGCTTTGTACGGCAAAATTATTGAGTTTAACTATGTTGCTCGACGACGTCTTGTTTGCTTGGCTTATAAGCCGTACTTATTCAGCCAACGTACAATATTTTTCTCTCACAACAAATCAGCCAACAGTTCTTTCAGCCATGGTTTATCAGCTAAGCGAACATGACACATGTATATTGCTCCATCCATGCATGCATCACGTACCATGACCATGTGGTGCTCTCTGATTAATTGTTTTGTGCAAGCAGAGCAACCTCAGGTGAACCGGGTGCTGCCGGGCGCGACCTTGTCTTCTGATGAGCAGCAAGTTCGACGGCGTCAGCTAATCCCGCTTTTCTTCCAGCAGCCAACGAGCGCATCCACCGCCAACCCTAAAATAAATCTCATCTTTGAATTTGTTTGTGGGTGTGTGATTGGTTGCTTCCATTAAACCTTGTACATCACTAAACGTATACACTGTCTTGGTGTTATATATGGTATCCTGCACGTGCACCACGCTGGCCAACACGGTCGCATAGAGGAGGACGCACAGGTGGTCCAGTCTCCGGTGTGTGTGACGTCGGGGATAGGGAGCTAGTGCCCCAATCCAGCTCACTGCAAAATTACCTGAAATTGCATTGGAAGTACAAACCAATAGTCGATCTTATATATAGGAGGTAACCATGCCATACCTTGATGGAATTGTTGCCGGCAATCAGGCGTTAGGAATTGGTGGCTTGAATGCAAATTGTTTTGGCTGTCAGTGTCGCGCCGGAATGAAGATCAATGTTAGGCAGCGGGCAACGGCCTGAGGATCAAGTAGCGGCGGCTTCACGTCCCTGCACGGGGGTGATTTATAGAGTCCATATAGATGGAGATTGGCATGTTCGGCTTGCTGAATCTTAACTGAAACTGGTTGAAAAATACTGTTCCGGCTGAATTATTGTGAGAGAAAAATACTATTCCAGCTAAAAAAATAAGTCAAACAAACCGAATATAGGATAAGCCGAACGAGCCGATTACTGGCAAGCGGAGGTGACGTGGTTTTACCACAAGACGTGAACTTGTATAGAAGCATTAATGTGGGGGAGAAGCAAAGAGATATGACGTGGTTTCAATTGGCGGATGGGATGGGATGGTTCGGCTGCTGCATAAGGGACCTACGGTGATGGGACCCTGGATGACGTGGGCATCACAAAATCGAAGGAAAATAGGTTATTGGGGTTCTCCTATTTAGATATAATAGATAGTACCATGAAAACACACCAGCAAATGGGTTCGGTTTCCTTGTTGTGTTTGGAATAAATATTTTTTTTGTTTTTTCATGTATTCAGTTTCCTCGTTGTGTTTGGAATGTATTTTTTGTTTTATAAAGTCTCCCTGTCACACAAATGGGCCCAATTCAGATACAGAGACAAGCCCAATAATCCAGGCCCACTGTGTGCAATGCGGGTCACTCCGAAGGCCGTGATGATGAGCCAGAAGGATCGAACGGTCCAGATTCTCCAGACCCTAGTAGAAAGCAACAACCACGCCGTCCGCGCAAAACCCTCCCGGCTCAGACTCGTCTGCTGCAGCTCCTCCTCCTCCCTTGCCGCCGCCGCCGCATCTAACGCACTTCCCTCCGCTGCGGCCCGAGGCAAGATGGTAAGCTCTAATCCCCTCATCTTCCGCCCAATCAAGATCCAAATTTGTTGCGCCGCTCATCGCCAGCGTGCTCGATTGGATCCTGAGATTGATTGGCTGCGCAGGTTCTCCAGAACGACATCGACCTTCTCAACCCGCCGGCAGATCTCGAGAAGCTCAAGCACAAGAAGAAGCGCCTCGTCCAGTCCCCCAACTCCTTCTTCATGGTACTTGTTCTTTATCCCTAACATGCTCTCGTTTCTGTGGTGGGTGTAGGCTAGGCCGTTTCCGGTTCACCTTTTCTTTATCCCCCCATATGTATTAATTGTGAAAATCTTATTTCTGTGTTGCAGGATGTCAAGTGCCAGGGATGCTTCAGCATGTAAGTTTTCCTGCCCGTCAGATTCAATTCAAGATTTAGATTTATTTAGTTCTCGCCATTGATTGATTGTGGTTTACCATTGAGCCTGCCCTGGTGCATGTATCACGGCAATTCTTATTATGAAGTTCTATTGTTTGACCTTCCAAATGATTGTGTGTAATTTTGCACAGATTTAGCTTATGTTTAGTCTATAGTAGCAACTTTCTACAAGTTTAAGGTATTAAGTAGAGTTTGAGAACATGTTTATAAACTTCTTATCTTTGGTCGGAAGCTGTTAATTGTCCTGCTGCTCCAATTCTAGACATGATTGTTTTTCTTTGTCCACTACAATTTTAAACTGGCGTAGCAAGTTGTAGAAGACAAGTAAAAGAATGCTGTTTTTTTTTTATTTCTTTGTTGTACGGCAATGTTGAATGCATATTATTGAGTTGGGTTGTTTGACCTACAAAATGATTCTCTGTAATTTTACAGAGTTTTTACCCTACATGTTTAGTGTATAGTAGTAACTTTCTAGTACAAGTTAAGGTATTATTAGTGTTTTGGAAAACAGTTTATAAAGTTTCCTTGTCTTTTGTTGGGATCTGATTTCCTCATCTTTGGTCAGGAGCTGATAGTTGTCCTGTTACTGGTCCAATTGCAGCAACATTTGATTTTTCTGGGTCATTATCAATTTGATTGAAATTAATTAACTTGTTGAGTTGTAGAAGGTAACTAGAGAAACACTCGGTAGATTATTGTCACCATGATCGCTTGCTTCCGGTTTACTGATGTCTTTCCGTTTGGTATTGTTTAAGATGCATTGTATAATTTAAGGACTGTCTAGAGAAAGGGGTGGTTTGGTATTGTTAAACTGAATTCCAAAGTAATCTATCGCCCCTCAGTACAAAATTACAAATAGGCACCTAAGTTTGGATTAGTATGTTAAGATACATTGGCACCAACAAAACTTTATAATGATTGCTCATTTTTCTCTTTGCATCATGAGCTCCCAAAACTTCTTGTCTTTGGTCGGAAGCTGTTAATTGTCCTGCATACTAGGATGTTGACATCAATTTAACCATAAGCTTATACTGTTTATTTCATTATGTTATGGTATGAATGTGTTATAAACCTTGTTTTTTTGAACTCTCTGATATGACTTCTGGTAGAAAGCTAGTCTAATGGTGCAATTCATGTTGTTTTTGCAGAACCACTGTTTTCAGCCACTCCCAGACTGTTGTTGTGTGCCCAGGCTGCCAAACTGTCCTGTGCCAGCCCACAGGAGGAAAGGCGAGGCTCACGGAGGGCTGCTCTTTCCGCCGGAAGGGAGACTAGAGTGGCGCCTGTTAGTACTGGATCGGTTGTCAATCTCCAGTATGCAGTCTTCAAGTTTTGCTCTATGCCAAATATTAGTGTCATGAACTGCCTTAGCTAAGGTTTTCCATATGTTGTTCTGGTGCTGCTATGTATTGCATGTTGGCTATTGTGCCAAACTTATCGCTGGTTTGGTTCGGATTATGATAAACTAATGGATCTTTGAATTATGTTATGCTATTGACGATATTTGGCGACATGCTGTTTCTTGGTAATCATGGGCACTTGTCCTTTGGATGGAGGGAAGTCAGAGGGCAGGGCACTTGTAGGTTTTTTTTTAAACATCTTCTTGTAGTTATGTTGGCTAAGATATTAGCCGTCTACGTTCAGTACCCTCTCTTCCAACTTAATGTTTAAGAAGAATTGCATTTAAAATGAAAATGTATCCTAGTTCCAACTTTATATATTTGTATAAAAAGAATTGCATTGTACGTCCCTCAACTTGAGCCATTGTAGCGCCTGGAATCTGCCCAAACTTGCATTTTGCTTCTTCAGGTACATGGCGCGGTTTGCACCGCAGCTCCCAATCCACTACTTGGCGCGTGAGGCGTAAATGTTAGACCTTAAGTAGGATCTCTAGCCATAGAACTGGACTAGTGTAGTAGCAATAGATATAACGAGAGAAAGAGAGGGGTGAAGGGTGCAAACCTTCGGTCACCTTAGATGAAGATGGGCTCACCATCGTAGTGCTTGGCGATAACCCGTTGGCGGTGTCGAGTCGAAGTGCGGCGGTGCAGTAGCGGTTGCAGGGCAGCCCGGCGACGTAGCAGTCCCTCGGTGTAGATGCAGAGGCGGTGGCGACGCGGCTAGTGGCTTTCCGTCACTGGCTGCGCCCCTCTAGATCGGATTAGGGATTTCGGTGGGGACTGTAGCTCAGACGAACCTCGTACACAGAGCCGCCGGCCCCCACCTCTATTTATTGCGCAGTGTGACAGGGGTCCTTCAGCCATAGTGGGCTGGGCGCCCCCGATCAGGGCGCGGATCAAAGGCCCAACTGAGCCGTTGGACCCAGTTTAGAATTAGAGATCAATCTAACAATCTTCCCCTTAATCTTCTACCATCTTTCAATTTCATATCATTTACTTTTGTTCATTCCATTACAGATTAGCACATAGAGCATGTTTCATCGTCACGGTCAATTACCGATAGATTTAACAGCTACAACACACCACTCTGTTATGAAATAGATATTTAACTTTGGGTCTTCTTTTGTCCAGAAATTATAGGCTTTCTCTTAAACCCACACCGACTACATGTTCTCTGAACACGTTGGGTGGTAAGCTTTTTGTAAGCGGATCTGCGAGCATCTTTTCGGTACTTATATGCTCAAGACTTATGACATGACCCCGGACTTTATCTTTCACAACATAATACTTTATGTCAATGTGTTTGGTAGCACCACTTGACTTATTGTTGTGAGCATACTGTACTGCTGGATTATTATCGCAGTATAACTTAAGTGGTCTATAGTTGTCGTCAACCACCTTCAAACCGGGTATGAACTTCTTTAGCCAGTTCACCTGCCTCGTTGCCTCATAACACGCTACAAACTCGGCATACATTGTGGACGATGTAGTGACGGTTTGCTTTGAGCTTTTCATGAAATAGCTCCCTCTGCGAGAGTGAATACATATCAAGACGTGGATTTTCTATCATCTCCCGCATAATCAGAATCAGAATATCCCACTATATGGAGTGAATCTGATCTTCTATACGTCATCATGAGGCTTTTCATTCCTTGCAAATAACACAAAACTTTCTTTACCAATTTTCTAGTGTCCTGTTCCAGGATTGCTCTGGAATCTGCCAAGTAACCCGGTAACAAATGCCAAGTTAGGGCGCGTACATACTTGAGCATATGACAAGCTTTCGACAGCTGAAGCATATGGAACCGTTTTCATTTGATCGATCTTATACTGGTTCCTAGGGCATTGAAAATCCCCATATCTGTCGCCCTTGACTATAGGAGCAGGTGAGGGACTACATTTGTGCATACTGAATTTCTTTAAGATCTTTTCTATGTATGCCTTTTGTGACAGTCCTAATACCCCTTTACTTCTATCTCGGTGAATCTCGGTCCCTAGAACGAACGAAGCTTCACCAAGATCTTTCATATCAAATTTTGAGGACAAAAACTTCTTTGTCTCCAGCAGTAGACTGACATCACTACTAGCGAGTAAGATATCATCCACATACAGGACAAGGAAGATAAACTTCCCATTCTTAAACTTTGCATAGACACAATTGTCCTCTACATTCTCTTAAACCCAAAATTTCTTATTGTCTGATCAAACTTCAAGTACCACTGTCTTGAAGCTTGTTTTAATTCATAAATGGATTTCTTTAGGCGGCATCCCATTCGTTCTTTTCCTTCTATGACAAAACCTTTCGGTTGTGTCATGTAAACATTTTCCTCTAAGTCCCCATTGAGAAATACCGTCTTTACATTCATTTGATGTAATTCTAAATCGTAATGTGCCACTAATGCCATTATGATTCTAAAGGAATCCTTACATGAGACTAGAGAAAAGGTCGCATTGTAATCAATCCCTTCTCTTTGCGTAAAGCCTTTTGCCACAAGTCGCGCTTTATATCTCTCTATATTTTCTTGAGTCAAGTTTTGTTTTGTAGACCCATTTACAGCCTACTGTTTTGGCTCCTTTAGAAATTATTTTCAAGTCCCAAACTTTATTGGCATTCATAGATTTTATTTCATCTTCCATGGCCTCAAGCCACTTTGATGAATGATCACTTCTCATGGCTTCTTCAAATGAGGTGGGATCATCCTCGATTTAAAATTTCTCAGTGTTGTATACTTCATAGTCACCAGGAATAGCTAATTTTCTAACTCTTTGAGACCTTCTAGGGGCCTCCACATTTGGCACATCTCCTGTTTGAGGCTGTTGTTGCTCACCCTCATGTGTGGCAATAGGTTCTACAGGATCCTAAAGAACATGTTCCTCATCGTCATTCATTGTTGCCACAGGCGGAATAACAATAGGTGCTGGCACCACAGTATCTTGCACTGTCGGTGCAGTGACAGCAGGTAGTGAGAAAAATGGCTCATGAATCATCGGAGTGGGCGCATACACCCACTTCTCTTCAAGGTCAATTTCTCGAGCTACCATGCTCCCCCTCATCATTTCATCCTCTAGGAAGACAGCGTGTCTCGTTTCCACAAACTTTGTATGTTTGTCTGGACAGTAGAAATGAAAACCTTTTGACTTTTCTGGGTAGCTAATGAAATGACAACTTACTGTTTTGGGATCTAATTTCCCAATGTTTGGTTAAATACTTTAGCCTCAGCAGGACTCCCCCACACACGTAAGTGGTTTAGTGAGGGTACTCTTCCTGTCCACAACTCATATGGTGTTTTGGGCACCGATTTACTTGGTACTCTATTGAGAATATGAATGGTGGTTTTTAACGCCTCCATCCATAGGCTCAACGGCAAGGTGGAGTAACTTATCATACTGCACACCATATCCATCAGGGTACGATTGCGTCTTTTAGCTACTCCATTCTGCTGAGGTTCGCCCGGTGTAGAATACTGGGCTACTATGCCATTCTCCTGTAAGAACCTTGCAAAAGGTCCAAGAACTTGGCCATATGGGGTATGCCGACCATAGTACTCCCCCCACTGTCGGACCTGACTATCTTAATCTTTAAATTGTGTTGGTTTTCAACTTCTGCCTTAAATATCTTAAATTTATCCAATGCTTCTGTTCTTTTTTTGATTGGATAAATATAGCCATAACAGGAGTAATCAACTGTGAATGTTATGAACGAATCATAACCATCCACACTCTTTACAGGAAACGGACCACAGATGTCTGTGTGAATAATCTATAAAATTACTGCGCTTCGTTTGGCATCTTTCTTAATTTTCTTTACATACTTTTCTTTTATGCATTCTCTGCATTATTCTAAATCTGAGAACTCTAATGGAGGAAGAATATCATTCTTAACTAGTCTTTCTAGTTTCTCCCTCGAAATATGGCCTAAACGACAGTGCCATAATTTCGACGATGCATCGTGAGCTCTCTTTCGTTTTCTGTTTACATCCGCAGACGAGGATACATTCTCATTGTCGTACGCAACGTTCCCATCATCGCATACAACATTCACATCATCACGTAGTGATAACAAATAAAGCTCATTTTGTAAGATAGCAAGACCAACACATGCATTATTAAATGTTATCTTACATTTGCCATTTCTAAAATGGCAATCATATCCATCATTGTCCAAGCATGAAACACTAATCAAGTTTCTCTGTAGGGGGGAACATAAAGTACATCTCTAAGTAAAAGTGTGAAACCATCAGCAAGCTCTAGAGAAAGATCGCTGTCGGTGCGGGACCCACGGGATACCCCGCAAGGAAGGGAGAAGATCTAGTCTAACTAGGATTCTTCCCATGTAATGTTAGTAGTAGTATTATTCTGTAATCCTACTAGGAACTCTCATTGTAAACCGACTAAGACTCTGACCTCCTGACTATATAAAGGAGGGCAGGGTTCCTAGAGACGGGACTTTTACGACACAACACTTTACAATCAATCCAACGCAAAGGCTAACACCGACTGGACGTAGAGCTATTACTCGATCAACGATCGAGGGTCCAAACCAGGATAAATCGACTGTCTCTTGCGTTTACCGTCGAGTTCCGCATACGCTGAAGCCCAAACAAACTGCCCCGGGTACTCCCGTGGCAGGCTATCGGTGGTGAAACATCGACAGCTGGCGCGCCAGGTAGGGGCTTTCGGCGAATTTGCATCCGAGAGCTCGACGGACCTCGACAGTATAATCTTCTCGACGGGATCAACCTTCATCTTTGGTTCATGGATCTGCGAGGCAGGTGACAATGGCAAGCTCCAAAGCCGTCTCCTCGAAGATTCGGATCACCATGAAGACCATTCTATTACGGCGACTACGACAGATCAACTTGCTGGAAGATTCGT